AAGGGGACGTTTCCGTGTTCACAACAATGTGTTAACGGGAGTGGAGTGTTGGCCCCGCCCTCGCTTGGGCAACGCCGACGCTTTGGTCGGATGTATGGGAGTAGCAGCCGACCATTCATAGTGGGAGAGCTGCTCGACAGGCTTCGTCGAGCTGCAGGGGACCGCTGTGGTGTTGCTGTCGACCAGGGAGCTCGACAGCTGCAACTGACTGGTCTGGGCGACGGGTGGGCCGTCGACCAGGAGGGGCAGTTCGACCGGGAGGTCGACGGAGCATCCCGTCGACCTGCAGCTCGACCGGGAGGTCTACGGAGCATCCTGTCGACCTACAGTTCGACCGGGGAGGTCGATAGAGGAGCTGTCGACCTGGCAAGTGCGCAGCGGTCGACGAGGGGATCTCGGCGACAACCGCTGACGGTTCTGGCCGACAGAAGGGGGTCCGTCGACCAGGGGGTAGGTGTGGTCGATCAACGGCACCTGGCGGTCGACCAGAGGGACCTGGTGGTCGACCGGAGGGACCTGACGGTAGACCAGAGGTAGTGGTGGTCGACCGGGAGCACCTGGTGGTTTCTAGGTCGACCGGGTAACCTACTCGACGAGTTCTGCGGAGGCACGCGAACGTCGTCGAGGTCGCGATGGCGAAGGCGACTTCGGGCTGGTATCCCGAAGTCGATGTGGCTCGTCAGGCGCAGACAACAGCCGACGGATGCACAACGATGCAAGTCGGGCCAATCGTCTGCGCGCACCTGCGAGCGTGCGCACTGCTATCATCTACGGGTGCAACGCTGGACAGCCGCACTGCTGCAGCGTTGGCACGCCGTCGACCTGCTGCGTTGGCAGGTCGCCCTTTTGGAGTGTTGGCGCGGCTCCTCTACACAACGCTGGCCAGCGGTCGACCAAGCTGTGCTGGCGGTCGACCAGGTTGGCTGCAGACTTGCTGGGTGCCTGATGTAGTCATTGTTGTCATTGCTTGTTCAATCATTCTGTAATTCCAACTTTGCTAGTGGAAACTCTTGCCGATTTCTCCCGTGGATACGCAAGCACTAAGGAACCAAGCAAAGCTACAATCACTCCTAGTAGTTCGTGCCAACCCCCGTAGTCTAGCTCACTACTGTTGTAGAGTGAATCTCCACATGGTGCGGTGAGCGTGGATCGAACACGCGACCTTCAGATAGGAGCCAACTTTTGCACCTACTAAGTCGTTCGTAGGTCGACAGCAACGTTAGTCGCCATGGTCGACCCCGTTGTAGAAGCGGGCGTAGCGGACACCTTGGAGGCACGCTTGGCTGATGCGAGGAGACGCCACGCGGATGGCGAGTACGGGACGATCCCTTGGGCGATCGTCGAGTTGGGCATCCGGTCGCAGTGGGCGACGGAACACCCTTCCCGTCCTGCATCTCCTCGACCAGTGCGGAACGAAGGTGGCGTCGACGACGAGGTCGACGGTGGTGCACGAGTCAGCGGCAGCGAAGGCACGAAGCAGAGAGGGGTGATCAAGGTCGACGGTGGCGCCAACGGGATACAGGCGCGGGTGCAGCGGTCGACGGCGGCCGCAAGCAGCTCGCGTGGCGACGTTGATGTTCGACGTCGATCCCCTCTACGAAGCGGTGGAGGGCTCTCGGCGACGACGCATGTGACGGCGGGCGGGATTGCGCCGGCGTATGGCTACTTCAAGTTCTCGCCGGACCGAATCACCGTCGCACCGCTGCAAGGTCGACGGGACCTCATCACCTGGAGGGAGTCGATAGAGCCTCAGCTGGAGGTTTCCAGGCTGAAAGGCTTCGCCGACGGCACCGTGCCGATTCCGCCCGAGGAGGATGTCGAGCTGCGCAGAGAGTTTCGTGCTGCTCACCTACTCACCTTCATGGTCATCTCGAGGTGCTGCTCGCCGGTGGTGCAGCTAGCGCTCCATTCTGTCGACGTACCAGGTGAAGAACGACCTATACATCGGATAGCTGGAGGAGAAGATGACACACATTCGGATGGGCGAGCAGGAGTCAACGACAAACTACTGCAACCGTGCTCGACAGATCCTGGCTGAGTTGCGGATGGCGGGCGCCGAATACTCGACGGCGTCCTACATCACCCACATCGTCAAGGGCTTGCCGCGCAGCTACAACCTCATGAAGAGGATGATGATGGTGCCCGGCACGCGTGAGTCTCTTGACGAGGACTCCATCACCAGCTACATCCTTCAAGATGAGGCGATGCAGGAGGCCGAACAGCCCACGGAGCTCCTTCCGCAGGCAAGCTACGCTGCACCGACGAAGCTGAATCAGCAGCAAGGGCAGCGCGGGAAGCCGGGCGGAGGTGGTAGCGGAAGTGGGCGGTCGACGAAGGACGTCGACGAGAAGAAGTCTACGCGGGGCAAGGGTCGTGGAGGTGGTGGTCAATGGCGGGAGTGCTGGGTCTGCGGCGACCCCGACCATCTCTCTTTCGAGTGCCCCGACCGCGATGACAGTAACGAGGACGACAGCAAGGGAGGCCGCGGTCGATCGGCCAGCCGTCGCCCACGTCGAGATGAGAAGCCGCGCAAGGAGAAGCAGACGTCGAAGAAGACGTCGTCGACGAAGGACGTCGACAGCTCCAGCGGCAAGGGCCGAGGCGACGGGGAGGCGTCGTGCTCGATGGTCGGCGTGGTGGAGCCGACAGTCTCGCTGGCACCGGAGGCTGGCGAGGATTTCCAGGCGGTGGCAGCAGCTGTGCAGGCCAACCCGATGGCGGTGCTGCTCGACAGCGGATGCTCCCACCACCTGATGGGGACAAAGGCGGTCTTCGTCGACATGGCGCCGAGCGACAATGTGAAGCATGTGCGCGGCTTCGATGGGGCGTTGCAGCCTGTCGAGGGTCGCGGAACCGTCGCTCTGCAAGGGGAGGCCGGAAAGCGGGTCCTCATCCCCGACGTGCTCTACGTTCCGGGCATACATTTGCGTACGGTACAGTTGAAAATTAGTCATGTGTCAAACACGTTGCACATGCACAGGAAACCACATTTCCTTCGTGATAATAAAAAATGGTTTCCCTCGTCATGAGAACGCATGTTGCAAACTCACGCATCACTAGAGAATTTCTGTACATGATGTTTAAGGGTTTTGTTTACTAACCACTGTTTAATTTCAACGAGTTGCTTGAAACGAGGCGCAGTTGCCAGATGTCGCGATTACATTTCGGGAATGTATCGTTGCTTCGCATGCACGCAGGGTTACTCGCCACTTGGCGGTAAACCCTGAACCCGTTGAGATGTATTATCAAGGAAAGCTCAACGGATTATGCCGACGTCGGTCAACGTCGCTCCCCTCTGCATGTAGACCCCCCAGTTTGCCAGCCAGGACCAGGCCTGTCGAAGTTTCTGGGGCTCGTACTTGCGCTCCCCAGCTCCTCCCCATCTGACCCTTGGTTGGGTGTAGGTGAGCGTTTTGGCGCCCTTAACGGTCACGGGCGCACCCCAAAGTGAAAACTTGAAATCCGGGCAGTATTGGATGCTAAGGGCGTGCTACTCAGCGTCCGTGTGCCCCCGGTCCGCTGCCTCAAGGCTCGTCCGACGGACCAGGCCCAAACCATGTTCTACACGAATCTTGCGGACTGGTCTGACGGACCAGATCAACCCCTGAAATTTTGCCTGGCGGACCCGAAAAGTAGCTCGGACCAGAGCGGACAAAGAAGGTGTTACTTGGTAACCATCTACTGTACTTTCCTGGTCCGCTAGCCGGCTCACAGCTGGTCCGTCGTGGTCTGCGGTCTGGGCCGCCTGGTCCGCAGGAAACCAAGGGTTTCGCGTCCTTGAGTAGCACGCCCTAAGGGAATGTTCGGGTGCTCCAAGGCTGACTGAGACACTCTACTCACACGAGATTGGCTAGAAAACGCTAAGGGAAAAATCCATTTGGCGCGCTCTCGTACAGGCTCAGGAGAAAGAGGGGGGAAGGGGGGGGGGGGGGGGGGGGGGGGGGGGGGGGGTCTCTGGCAGCCTTGGGGGGGGAGGGTCCCACGATCGGAAACCAAAACTTAGATAAAGGGGAAGGCCTGGTTTCGTCCCTTAACGCATCCGGGGAAGGGTCGAACGAAGCACTTAGTGGCACGGGTGGGGTGCGAATCTAAAACTTGACGCATTGGAGCTGGAGCGAAACTAGCATTTAAAGCCAGGACCTCATGTAGTTTAGCTGTTTTGCATTTAGTGAATTGCGCTAGACTGTGATTGGTTGACGAGGTAGAGTGGTTGAAGAGAGCTGAAACGAGGGATGCGAAGCAAACAAAAATCGCAGGCCGATTCCGAACCACTTAGGCACGGAATTTCGTTCGGGTTCCGAAGCTCATTTCCCAGCAATGTGTCTCAGCTGCCGAAAAATCTCATGTACAGCAAGTTGTTTTGCAATTGAGATTCACGGGCAAAACGGAAATCTGTAGCACACTAAACCTCCAACCCAACCACTCGATTTCGCCTACACAAACAGGGTGACTCGAGTGGCAAGTGTTTTGCAATTGAAGCCAATTTCTCTTACTTGAGATCCTGGCTTTAATGTTCAGGGCATTAAGGGCATATGCCCTTGAATCGACAGGCCTGGCCAGGACGTCGATCGACGTTGTAGTTCCCAAGGGGGGCCAGGTGTTTAGAGTGGTTCAGAGGGCGGGGGGAATTGTCCGCTGAGATGAATTAGCCTGAATTTAGCGCGGACCATGTGTATTTCTTTGGTCCCGCCTGTGGGAACTGTTCAAGCCCTGTCAAGGAGGGAACAACAGCGTTGCGGAAGTCAGCTGCAATGGCATCCAAGCACGGAGGACACCACTGCTGAACCTTCCGTATCTCCTCTTGAAACCGTAGCTTGCAATTACCCGTCTGTTCTGGCAGCCACACTGAAGCATATGGAAATTGCAAATGACGCACGGTGAATCAATAGATAACGCCGAGCGGTGCAATCACCCCACGGCAAGGTGTCGTGTGTCTGACGACAAAATGAACGGATAGATAGTGGCTGGAGCGTCGCACGAGGCAGGCAGCAGATCGCGCGATGGAGCTTCCGCCGGATGCCCGGCGGGGCAAGAGCCGCGCGGCGGCCGTGAGCCCGTTGGTGCTGCGCGAAATCGTCGCCGTGCGACGCGCGCATCCCGAGCTCGCGAACGAGCACATCGCGACGGCCGTCAACGCGCAGTACGGCACGGGCCTCGGCAGCAGCGACATCGATCGGCTCTATCGAAAGGCCACCGTCGAAAGCAGTGTAGGGAAGAATAAGTTCGTTCGTTATAAGAACGCGGAGCTTGAGGCGGAGTTATCGCGGTGGACGCGCGAGAGGCGGCTCCGTCTCGAAGCGAAAAGGGCGGCGCAGGGGAAAGGGGAGGTCCCGAGGTCAAGCATCGTGGCGTTCCTGCAGAAGTACGCGCGGCGCATCGCAGAGCGGTTCGGCGTGCCTCCTCTGTACGAGTTTGAGCGCTGGTGGTGTTGCGAAGTGCTGCGCGACGCAGGTCTCGACGAGTGCGGCGAGGAGGTGGGGACGCGCTCGGGGGACGAAGTGGGGACGCGGGGGAGGGACGAGGCAGAAACGCGCGACATGCAGGGGGAGAAGCAGGTCGACCGCGTCGCACGCGATAACGGAGAGGCGCCGGACTCCGCTAGTGCTGGCGAAGGCGGCTTAGGCGGCGCTGCGGCAGGCGAGCTGAGTGCGGGTAGAAGTGGCGGGAGGGATGAGGGCGGAGAGGCCGACGAGGCGCAGGTACCTGCGGGCGCACCGTCGTGGGCGCGGGGCAGCGCCGCCGCGGCGATACGCTACATCGGCGGAAGCAGCAGCAGATCGCCTTACGACGGGTCGGGCGCGACGGCGGGCGCGGCCAGCGCGGGTGCGAGCGCGCTGGCGGCGCGCGTGCGGTACGAAGTGGCGATGCTGGCGTGCGTGCGGCCGTTCCTGAGCCCCAGGATCGTGACGGCCGCCGTGCACGCGCGGTACGGGCTGTGGCTCATCCCTAAACACGTCCGCTACATCGTCCAGGAGAGCCGCCGCTGGGTGCGCGCGGACGCGGGGGAGCGCGCGCCGGGCGCGGCGGACGCGGGGGAGAGCGCGCTGGAGGAGGCAGTGGCGCTGTGGGTGGTGGCGGAGGAGGAGGGCGCGGGGCGCGCTGTGAGCCGCGCGCAGCTGGTGGGCAAGGCGAGGGAGCTGGCACGGGGGTGCGGCGTGGAGGAGGGGCGGTGCACTGAGGCTTGGGCGAGCAGGTTCGTGCGGCGGTATGGGCTGCTGCTGCTGCGCCTGGCTGAGGCACGCCGGGGCGGCGGGGAGGGGGCTGAGAGGGAGGGGGCAGGAATGGGGAAGGGGGAGGGCGGAGGGGCGGGAGGTGGAAGTGGGAGTGAAGCGGGGTGGTGGAGGAGAGGTAGGAGGCGGCTGAGGACGAAGGTGAGGCGCATGGGAACGGCAAGTGACGATGAGGATGCGGAGGGGGAGAACTTCGAGGAGGAGTATGAGGAGGACTGGGCAGGGTACGACGGCTGCCACTCTGCTGCTGCCGCCTCTGCTGGCGCTGCTGGCGCTGCTGCTGGTGCTGGGGCGAGCGTGAGTGCGAGCACGGGGTCGGAGAGGGACAGGCGGATGGGGCTGCTGCCGGGGGTGGAGAACCCGTACCGCCACGCTCGCGCTCTGCTCATGCGCCTGGCACGCCAGGAGGGCGCCATGCTGCCCGCCCACGTGCTGGAGGAGGCGCTGCTGGACGCCGGGCTGCTGCCCCCACTGCCAACCCCATCATCACCGCTGCCAGCAGCACCAGCAGCGCCAGCAGCACCAGCAGCGCCAGCAGCACCAGCAGCGCCAGCAGCACCAGCAGCGCCAGCAGCACCAGCAGCGCCAGCAGCACCAGCAGCGCCAGCAGCACCAGCAGCACCAGCAGCACCAGCAGCACCAGCAGCGCCAGCAGCACCAGCAGCGCCAGCAGCACCAGCAGCGCCAGCAGCAGCAGCAGCAGCACCAGCAGCAGCAGCAGCAGCACCAGCAGCAGCAGCAGTGGGCCGTAAGGAGCAAGTGAGCCCTGCTGTGTCACAGGGAGAGGCGGTGGAGAGGCAAGGGGAGGCAGTCTTGGGGCGAGCAGGGGATGGTGGCGGTGGGAGAGGGGAGCGAGCAGGGGATGGTGGCGGTGGGAGAGGGGAGGGCGCAGTGGGTGGCGCTGGGCAGTCCCCATCCCCCTCGCATGATGATGCATGGCGCTCCGTGGCCCCCCTGCCCGCCATGGGCAGCCCCGAGCTGCAGGCGCTGCAGGCGGAGGTGAGCAACGAGAGTGTTGTGCTGCCCCACTTCCACTTCCTCCGCCTGCCCCCCGCCTTCCACGGCAGCACCGGCGGGGGAGAGGGGGCAGGTGGAAGGGGGAGAGAACGAGGAGGAGCAGGAGGAGGCGATGGTGGAGGTGAGAGCAGGAGAGAGGAGGCCGACGGCAGTGGTGAAGGCGGGAGGGCAGAGGAGGAGGCGGGGGTGGAGCAGGAAGAGGGAGAGGGGGAGGGCGGGCGGGTGTACCTGGTGTGTGGGGATGCGGCGGCAGGCGTGGTGGTGGAGCGCCACCTGCCAGGCCTCACGCTGAGCCGCATCAGAGCCATCTGCCTCGCCGCCCTCGCCCGCCCCCACCTGCCCCACACACAGCTGCTGCACGCCATCTCCCAAGCCTGGGGGCTGACGCTCTCTCCCCTTGATCTGCGCGCCATCCTCGCCCAGACCACCAGGTGTGCCTCCCTCGCCTCGCCCCCCGTTACCCCCCCTGCACGCCATTGCCCAAGCCTGGGGACTGGCGCTCTCTCACACCCTCTTGCGCACCATCCTTGCCCACACCACCAGTTTGTTTATCCCCCCTCGCCCCCAACTCCCCTTCCTCACTCGCCCCCACTATCTTTGCCCTCACACTTTCAACTCTGCATTCCCTCTCTCCACTCAACCCTCCTCCACGTACCCCTCCGTTCCCCGCTTCTCCCCACATCCCCCCGCTTCTCCCCACATCCCCCCGCTTCTCCCCACATCCCCCCGCTTCTCCCCACATCCCCCCGCTTCTCCCCACATCCTCCCGCTTCTCCCCGCATCCCCCCCCATCTCCCCGCATCCCCCCCCATCTCCCCGCATCCCCCCCCATCTCCCCGCATCCCCCCCCATCTCCCCGCATCCCCCCCCATCTCCCCGCATCCCCCCCCATCTCCCCGCATCCCCCCACATCCTCCTGCAGGTGGATGGTGCTGCCGGGGGGCATAGAGAGGGAGGAGGTGGAGGGGCGGGTGAGGGAGCGCGTGTGGAGGGAGGAGGGGCAGAGGGCGGGGCGAGTGGAGGTGGTGCTGCTGCAGTGGGTGCAGCAGCTCTCCGCCACCATCCTCCTCGACCGCGCCCGCTTCTCCTTCCCTCCTGGCTTCCACTGGGGCTCGCCTGTTGCTGCTGCTGCTGAAGCCGGCAGTGCTGCTGCTGGTTCTGCTGCTGCTGGTGCCGCTGCTGCTGGTGCCGCTGCTGCTGCTGCTGCTGCCGGTGCTGCTGCTGCTGCTGCTGCTGCTGCTGCCGGTGCTGCTGCTGCCGGTGCTGCTGCTGCCGGTGCTGCAACTCATAGTGGTACTCAGAGTGGTGGTGGTGATGATGGTGGCGCTGCTGCTGCAGCTTGCGGGGTGATGGAGGAGCACATGAGGCGCCTCTTCGGCCCACTGGCCCCGGGAGCCGTGCCATCCACCACCACCACCAGCGCCGATCCCAATCCCAACGAACCTTATCTTGGTGTGACCGTGGGTGCACGCGCGGGCAGTGGGCTGCTGGGGAAGCACGGGGTGCCGTTCATTCTCACGCGCCCCATGCTGCGCCAGGCAGCGCGCCGCGTCGCCCCGCTGCTGTACCGCAACGGCAGGGGCTACCCGCGGTTCGAGATCTACTGGTGCCGCCGCTTCCTGCGCCGCCTCGAGGCTCTGCGCTCCCTGGCCCGCCTGAAGCTCACTGCCGCCCGCCAGGGAGGCCCGCCGCCCGTTGTGATCCGTTGGCCTGGGGAGGGGTGTAGGGAGGACAAGGGCGTGGAGGAGGGGATGAGTGGGGGTGGGACAGATGGAGAGGGTATAACGCGGGACGATGTTGGTTCTGGTGCTGTTGACGCTGCTGCTGGTGATGGTGCTGCTGCTGTTGATGCTGCTGCTGCTGCTGCTGCTGCTGCTGCGGGTGCTGCTGCTGCTGATGGTGCTGCTGCTGGTGCTGCTGCTGCTGGTGCTGCTGCTGGTGGTGGTGGTGGTGGTGGTGGTGCTATTGATGGTGACGTAGCTACTGATGGTGACGTAGCTAGGGAACGACAAGAGGAGGCGTGGCGAAAGAATTTTCTGCAGCGGGTGGAGCGACATGTGCAGGAGTTGAGAGAGGTGCAGCGAGGTGGGAGAGAAACGCGTGGAGCAGATGAAACCCATGGCAAAGATGAAACCTGTGGAGCAGATGAAACGCGTGGGGCAGATGAAACTCGTGGAGCAGATGGTTCAAAGGTGGGAGATAGAGGGGACGCTAGACTGGAAGCGAGGGGAGAAGCGCGAGATGAGGGAAGACACGAGCAAGATGGGGAAGAGGGAGGGCTTGTGAGGGAGGACGAAAGGGCTGACAAATCGCGGGCTACAGGGGAGGCGGCTACAGCATCGGTGCCTGTGGGGGCGGCGGCAGGCGCTGCTGTGGCAGCAGTGGTGGTGGCGGCGGTGCAGCGGGCGCTGTGTGAGTGGGTGGCGGAGGGGGTGGTGGCGCGGCGAGCAGACGAGGAGGAGGCGCGGGAGCAGGCGGTGGTGGTGAGTGCGGTGCAGGCGACGTGGGGCGTGGCGGTGGGCGAGGAGCAGCTGGCTCTGCTGTGGCAGCAGCGCTCCCAGCTGCTGGGCGACGGGTGGGAGGGGCGGATCAGAGCACGGTTAGCAGGTGGCGTGCAGCAGAGGGAGGGTGGGGAGGGGAGGGCGGATGGGGATGGAGAGGAGGAAGAGGTGAAGGTTGGGGTTGATGGCAAGGTCAAGGGGCAGGTGGGGCAGGAGAAGGGGCAGGTGGGGCAGGAGAAGGGGCAGGTGGGGCAGGAGAAGGGGCAGGTGGGGCAGGAGAAGGGGCAGGTGGGGCAGGAGAAGGGGCAGATGGGGCAGAAAGGCGTGCATGGTGACCCCAGCGCGGTGCTGCTGCAGTGGGTGGCGTGGCGGGACGTGCGTGCGCTGCTGCAGGCACTGGACGGGCCGCAGTGGCACGGCAGGCTGCTGGCGCGCGTGGCATGCAAGGTGGTTGGGGGGGCTGTATGCAGGAGCGGGCAGGACCCCTGCACCGTGCATGTGGTGCCGCAAGGTGCACGCAGGGAAGGTGAGGATCAGCGCTCGGTACAAGCAGTGGCGGAAGGTGCATGCAGTGACGGGCAGGGTCAGTACACGGGACATAGAATGGAGCAAAGTGCACGTGGAGGCGGGCAGAGTCAGCGCATGGCATATGCGGTGCCGCAAGGTGCATGCAGGGGCGGGGAGGACCAGCGCATGGTGCATGCGGTGGCTCAAGGTGTGTGTGGTGGAGGTGGAGGGAATGGGAAGAGGAGGCGTGAAGGGGAGGGAACGTGGGTGCGATGCAAACGGCGAGGATGGTGGTACTTTGATTGCAGTGGGATTGCTGATGCTGATGCTGGTGATGGTGGTAATAATGATGATAGTGATGATGATGGTGGTGCTGGCGATGGTGGTGGTGATGATGGTGGTGGTGGCATGGGATCATGGCCACACAGCGAGCACCAGGTGGGAGCGCGAGCCCACCCTGCAGGGCGGCAGTACAACGCAGCGCCTGCCTGCCAGGCCCGCCCGATTGCTCCCCGCCCCACCCCGCCCACGGCAGGGGCAGCGCTGCCAGGTGCAGGAGCAGCAGCGGCGGTGGGGGTGGGGGTGGGGCCAGTGCAGCACAGGCAGAGCACAGCAATGGGTGCATGGGGTGGCGCACAGGCAGCAGTAGCAGGCACATGGCAGCAGGCGCACACCACTCAGATTGCAGCAGCAATGCCGGCACGCTCACATGCTCACACCACACCATCAGCTGCTGGCCCTGTGCGTGCTTCTCTGCCCCTGCGCCCCTCGCATCTGCAGGCATTGCAGCAGATCCAGCATCTCATGCAGCCACTCGCAGCACACGGGGGCTCTCAGCCCAGTCCTGCACAGCCCAGTCCTGCACAGCCCAGTCCCTCACAGCCCTGCCACCCAGGGTCCTATCCACCCACCTCGTTCCAACCCACCACATATCGGCCCACCTCCTCTCAGCCCACTTCTAATCAACCTACTTCTTATCAGCACACCTCTCATCAACCCACACCTTATCAACCCACTTCTTATCAACCCACCTCCTATCAGCCCACTTCTTATCAACCCACCTCCTATCAGCCCACTTCTTATCAACCCACCCCTTATCAACCCACCTCCTATATGCCCACCTCTTATCAGCCCACCCCTTATCAGCCCAGCTCCCATCAGCCCAGCTCCCATCCGCTTGGCACACCCCAACCGAGTCGTCTCCACCACCCCTATGCTTCCCAGCACCACCTTCCCCTCTCTCACGTTCCCTCCTCTCACCCTCCCCCCTCTCACCTTCCCTCTCACCCTCCTCCCTCTCACCCTCCCCTGTCTGCGTGCGTTGCGGGTCAGGAAACGGGAAGGAGGGAGGGGAGGAAACGGAAGTTGCACCGATTGAATTGGGCAGGTAGAAAGGTTCTGAAGGATGGGCGGGCAGGGAAACGGGCAGCAAAAGGATCAGCTTTTCAGAATGCATGGAAGATGCTGATGGTGCGAGGGGGTGAGGAGGGCGAGGAGGGAGAGGAGGGAGAGGAGGGAGAGGAGGAGAGGCAGCGAGACAGGGGGAAATCGAAGCGCAATGGGAGGCAGAGGAGGGTCACATGGGGGGATGTGCGCAAGGGAGTGAATGGCAGGCGCGATGGAGAGGCAGGGGTTGATGGCAGAAGCAATGGTGGCCATGGCAGTAGCGACAGTGCGAGCAGTGCGAGCAGTGAGAGTGGGAGTGAGAGTGGGAGTGGGAGTGCGAGTGAGAGTGGGAGTGAGAGTGACGGGTGTGAGGAGGGCAGCAGAGATGAGAGCGCAGAGGGAAGGGATAGCAGGCGAGCTCACCCAGGTGCCACAGCACGCAGGGGGCAGCACGCAGGAAGACGGGGTGGGGGCGAGGGCAGTGGGGTGAGCAGCGACGCATGTGGCGGCGGCAGCAGGTGGGGGAGGTTGCATCCAGGGCTGGAGTTCTTTGTGCAGGCAGAGGCAGCAGCAGCCATGCAGGGCACACCTGGGGAAGGTACATCTGTGCGCCTCCCTCTCTCCCAGAATCTGGCTGAAGCAGTGGTGGCCACGGCACTTGTGGCGGCAGCAGTGGCCACTCCTGCTGCCACTGCTGATGCTGCCACTGCTGATGCTGCCACTGCTGCCACTGCTGATGCTGCCACTGCTGTCATTGCCAGGGAGGAGGCATTGGGTAACCTTGGGGGAGAGCCGTCCACTGCTGGCACTGCTGCTTCTGCCACGGCGGCTTATTCCTGTGCTGCTGCTGCTGCTGTTGGCAATAGTGGTACTCGTGACAATCAACGTGCTGCTGCATTTGGTAATGCTGGTGTTGCTGCTGCCACTGCTTCCACTGCTGCCACTGCTGCCACTGCTGCTGCTGCTGCTGCTGGCACTGCTGCTGCTGGTGATGGCACTGCTGCTGCCGGTAATGGAACTGCTGCTGCTGCTGCTGCTGCTGCTGCTGCTGGCACTGCTGCTGCTGGCACTGCTGCTGGTGCTGGTGGCGGCATGGAGGCGATTGTGACACCAGGAGTGGTGAGAGCCATGGGGGGCATGGGGGGCCTGGGGGGCATGGGGGCCCCAAGCAGGCAGCATGGCTCTCATCATTCACCCAGGATGGCTGCCACTGGTTCCGATGCTGCCATGGCGTTGGTGCTTCAGAGACTGCAGTCAACGGTGCAGCTTCAACCGTCAATGCCGATTGACGAGGGAAATTGGCTGTTGCAATATCTGTCATCAAATGTACAGCAGGTGCAGCAGCGGCACCAGCAGCAACAGCAGAAGTGGGAGCAGCGTATACACCAGTTGACGCAAGCGCATGAGCCACAAGCACAGCACCAGGTGCTGTTGCCGACCCATGAGCCGAATCAGCAGCGGCTGATGCTACAGATACAGCAGCAGCAGCAACTGCTGCTCCAGCAGCAGCAGCAGCTTCAGCAGCAGCAGCAGCAGCAGCACCTGCTACAGCAGTGCGTGCAGCAAGTAGCAGCTGTAGCCGTGATGCAAAGGCAGGAGATTCACGAGCTACAGCAGCAGGTGCACCAACAATTCCAGCAGCAACGAAAATAACCGTGAGTAGCAGGTACAGCGAAGCGAAGCTTGTACCATAGTTTAGTGAAATTTGTTCAATTGGTTGCTCCAAGAAAAACTCTACAATGCTAGAAAGGCATAGTGCCAGCGTAGCGGAAACGTGTTTGTAGAAAGAACAAGTTGGAAAACTTGCAATTCCAACAGATTGATCATTGAAAGAGAGAAATGATTTAATGATGATGTGACACACAGTAGGCTGGGTATTTATGCATCCAGCTTCCCTTCCTAGGATGACGCCAATCACACCAATAATGGTGTAACAATAATTGTACCCTTTACACTCCAATAATGCTGAACTCCAATAATTGTGGCCCTACAATAATTGTGACAATTATTGTAGGTCCTGGAGGCTTATAAAGGGGACTACACTAGAACCAAACAGCACACCAGTATACAATATTCGTTATACTGTATTCGGATTTCCAACACTCCCCTTTGCTGTAGGTTTTAGTGAATTCGTTTTGTGTGGTGGATGGGGTGGATGAGGTGGTGTATGTCAGAATGAGGAAATGGATGATGCATTGATGTTGGTTGGGGTACATATAGCTAACCCTAACTTTTGTACCCCCTAAGACAAACCTCACTATAGGCTACAACATTTGACACACCCCCATAGCCTAAGTGAGGGGTGTCTAGCAGAACCAAAGAGTACAGTCACAAGACCAGTCCAAGAAACAAAGCTCAGGGTGGATCACAACGTCACCACACACTCTGAGCACAAACACCAGTGGCCACAAGGCCAGTCCAAGAACTCACAAGATATACAGCAAATGTACAAGCAAGACAAACAGTCAACTCAAGTCTACACAAGACGAGAACCAGTGTCAACAAGGCCTAACTGCACACAGCACCTCTGGTGGTCACAAGGCGCAAGCGCCTTGGTGAAGATGTCTGCAGTGTTGGCCTCGGACTCCACAAACTCGAAGCGAGCCTGTCCACGTCTCTGCAACTCTCGCAGAAGAAAGTACCTGACGTGAATGTGCTTCACTCTGCTCTCCAGTCGCGGCTCTCGACAAAGGAGAATCGACGCCTTGTTGTCAGTGAACAAGGTTGGTGCAGAGCTCGGCCGCTCACCAAGGTCGGCAAGCAAGAACGTCAACCAACGCAGCTCCTGTGCCGCCATGGCACCAGCGTAGATCTCAGCCTCAGCTGTAGAGGTCGAGACCGAAGAGGAGCGCGTGGACCGCCAGGAAACAGCTCCAGAACCCAGGCTGAAACAGTACCCCTGAGTAGACCTGTGAGTCTCAGTGTCGTCAGCGTAAGAAGAGTCACAGTGACCAGTAAGTACGACAGACTGCTGCCCTCCAAGAACTAGCCCCACGCCTGATGTCGTCGCTAGGTACTTCGCCACCCTCACAACTGCTGTCCAGTGAACAGGACGGTGTCTCCCTGGCGCAACAAAGTGCGCAAGGACGCTGAGAGGGAAGGCGAGGTCCGGGCGAGTACAAGGTACAAGAGGCAACCCACAAGCTCTGCGTAGGGACCACTAGGCTCAAACGACTCGTCAGGAAAGGGTCCAGTGAGTCTGTGGTCAACAGCAAGAGGTGTGCGCTGTACTGTGGAGTGCTAAAGCCCGAACCGCTGAAGGACCTGCTGCACCATGTGTGACTGTGAAAGTGTAATGGTGCGAGCAGCTCTGTCCCTGGTGATCTGCAGTGACGCAGGCCAAGGTAGTGGCGCAGCTCACCAAGGTCAGTGCAGGTGTGTCTCTTCTGCAGTTCGGACTTCACGTCTGCCAAAGCAACCCTGTCCGGAGTGGCGAAAACGAGGTCGTCGACGTAGACCAGAACAAAGAACGGTGTGGAGCCGCGACGAACGAACAGCGACGGGTCGGCAGAAGACGGCTGGAACCCAAGGTCAGAGAGGGTAGAACGAAGGGTGTCGTGCCACTCACGAGGGGCCTGGCGAAGACCGTAGACAGGTCGCCTCAGCCTCCACTGGGTCCCAGGAGGGAAGGTGCCAGTGAAGGCAGAGGGACGATGCAACCAGACCTCCTCGTGAAGACTGCCCTGAAGGAAAGCAGTGGAGAAGTCGAGAGAGTGTAACTCGTAGTCTCTCTGTGCTGCTACGTGTAGTAACACCCGAAGAGTGGTCATCTTCGGGGTAGGCGCGAAGGTCTGAAAAAAGTCAACTCCCTCGCGCTGACTGAAACCTCTAGCCACGTAACGCGCCTTGAAGACCGGGGGAGATC